AGATTCAAACGGAATGTAGTGCATTTGTGTAGACTGAAGTTACCACAGTAATGAATAGATGTATGAGCGCCACTGTTTGCGACACCCAGCCATATCGCGCTCAGTGTCTCTAACCGTCGGTCACCATAATTTCGGGCTACCCAGGCAGGTAGCCTAACGGGACTTATGTGGCCCAGTCTCCTGGTTATGGTTTTCATACCCTCATGCCAGGTCTTCTTTTCACCGCCCCTGATCCTTTTCCAACCGCTACCTGTTTCGGCAAACATCGCTCTCCGTGGCAACCTATATGGTGACATGCGTAACACATGCCCCATGGAGGTCGGCTATATGTTAAAGTGCGATATTGCATTTAAAACCATCGACAACATGCAGCACTTTGTCAGTAATACTAACTCAGATGGATGCTATCCGTTTCAGTTGATGATTGCAAACCAACAACTGCTGCTCGCTGTCTATGTCGGCCTGGGACAAGACTACAGTACGGGAAGTTTAGCCGCAACGCCGGTCGTAAGTAGCCACGATTGTTGAATTTAGCCCAAATGGGATTCAGTGCGCGTCCATCATGCAAGCTCGGGATTTCATTCTTCTAATTTCACGTGGGGTGGGGTGGAGGGGGTTATAAGTGGGATGCATGACTATTGTGTAACCCGGCCAATTCTGGTCACCAACGCTGGAATGGGTTCTGTTTTTGATTGATTGATTGATTGATAGATAAATAGATACGTATGATCCTAACATTTGCTGGCTAATTAATCGCCTTTACCCTTTATTGATCTGGAGATGGAACTGTTGTTTTTCAATGGCNATGGCGTGAAATCATGAAATGTGGTTCACTCGGTCTACAAAATTCCATGCACCGCATGTGTTAGATGTCAAATTTAGAAGAGGAAAAAAGCATTCTACTCAAAAATGAACAATGCCCAATAAGAACAATTTAGGCTTCCTGATTTATCAATGCACATGCGAGTGGTAGTGTTCCCTAAGTAACCTTGCAGACATAACCCGCATCCAATTTTCCTCCCGGTTAGCGAACTGTATCCCACGAAGTCCTAAAATGCTTAGCTTACATTTGAGAACATATAATTCGACAATGTCAGTAAAGCATCAAAGGATTTTGTAAATGCAAATCACCATCGCATATGAAAAAAAAACAGAAACCGCGGACAGATAACACGGGGGGGGGCGGGAGAGAGGAGAAGGTGAGGGCAGTAGAGGAGGACCCCTAATTCAACTTTTCTTTATGGGATCAGTGTTTTATGCTGTTGGTGTCCAGTAAGAATTGCCCTACTGTCTTGACCACAAATGATGGAATCAGTTTCGGCCAAAGAAACGCTTTCTCACCTCCAGAATGCCAGGTGTCTCTGTTGTATTCCAGCTAGCGATGTACCGCTAGCTGGTACCGCGACGCTCTCGACTGTTCGGTGTCAATTTGTGTTTCTGGGTTTCTCGGAAAATGTTCTTTTTTTACCAAGATTTGTTTGCTATCGAGCTTGATTTGATCGTGTTCGGCTGCCGTGACACAAAAAAGCGCAAATGAATAAGATTATTTCCTTCAATCAGGAGCTAAACATTTGTCGTACTTATTGACTCCATTCAGATAAACTTTCATGATTTCCTTTCCTACTACCATTGTGTATATAGACTTACCAGTTTGATTTACAGCTGTAATGGAATAAATGTTGCTTTCATGGTCCGTAAATTTGACATCGCCGACCACCATATTTGTGAGTCGTATTTATAATGATGTCAATGTTAAAATGGAAAAATCTATGACCACGAGGCCGCACTGTCTCCATGATGGAAATTTTAGACCGAGGAATGTCACACACCCTGTACATAACTCACCTTGGTTGTGTTTTTTTTTCGTGAACAGTATCTGGGATCAACTGCCGTAGGGAAAATTGTCATCCGTAAAACCATGTTTTCCTTCTATCTGCATTATGTTAATGAGACCCTCCAAAAAATGGTTGTTTTCTGTACATCCACTTTTGTCTATACATTGCCGTTGGAAGTCCCCTTCCATGAACACACACACACACACACAATGTTCGCCATGTTAAATCGGATAGTTATGGACGGGTCTAAAAGTTTCAAAAGTGATTCGATTTGAATGAGAGAAAATTCTGATTCAAGAACTAAAGAGCTACTGCAAAATCTTGAATACTTTGCAATATGTGTGCAAATGATGATTAGATCTAGCCATAAACTGATAAACACCACGAATCAGAAATAATCCTGGGTAGACCAGAATCAATTCACACTCTTTATTCGTTTTCTTTCTTCAACCTAACCTTGTGTAGTACTTACTATTGGTGGTCCTTTGATCGATGTGTTTTGTGACTTGGTTCTGCCCGTTTTTGACCATCAAGTTAGTTTTTACTGATTGTTTGAATGATTTCCCGTCACAATATGATTAATTTGCAGATACGAAACTTAATGGCTGTCGGACTACTCAAAGCCCACGCGTTCCTCTCGTGCAGACTGGTTGTGTAACAAGTCAAGTGTCTAGGCCCTTCCCCCCTGATTCTCAACAATTGCTGTTGTTAAACTCGATAGGCGAAATCGAAACAGAAGATGAAGATTACCCAGCACTCGATCTTCACTTCGTGCTATGAACCAGTAAAATGAATATATGTAGCCCATATTCGCCGGTTTTCTCACTCTGTGAGTTTCTGAATCAATATGTGCAATCCGGTTAATGCGTTTTCACAAAATACTCTAATCCCGTATGAAAAAAAGACGGAATTAGNGGAATTAGTGGGTTTCTCTCCACCCAGCCCAATGTATGTGTATGTGTGGTTGCGGTGTTTGGATGAAAAAACCCGTTCATTTTACACTCTAGTGCTTCTAATTCGCCCGTTTTGGTTCGGTCGGTAAATCGGGAATTGGAGACGAATTTCGAAAGTTATGAAAGAAAATATGTGAATGAGCAGTTGTGCTTTGNCCTCCTCCCCGCCCCGCTCATCTCCACTCTTGCTGTTGGACAGAAACACCCGGTTCTTGCTATTCACCTCTGTGTGATGTGTGATTTTATCTCACATACTCCCTCTGTTGGACAACTGATGGAATCCACAATGGCATTCGCGTTCTAGACTTGAGCTTAGTTCGATTCCGGGGCACTGTTCGTGGTTTCCGAACACCGGTCTGTGTTCAGTCGTACAAAATACTGCTGAGGAAACTACACAACTATGGAATTCCAAAACTTGTACTGGGTTAGATAGATGAATTTCTACGACAACGCACCATGGCAGTTGGCATTTCTGGGTCACTTTCTGATCCCATCAGCGTAGCATGA